AGGCAAGAAGCCTGGCCCCCGGGGAGGGCCCCCGGCCCGTTTGTCGAAAAAAAGACAGGTCTGAGAAGTGAGGCCACAGGCCCCCTGAACTCCCGCTGCCCGGCGGCATGGGGACAGGTGCCCAGCACTCAGCAGCATAGACCGGCGTGCATGTCCTCCTGTGGTCTCTTCCACAGGGGGAATGAGAACCGATTACCACGCAGCAGGCCTTTATGCCCCATCACCCAGAGGGCCCAGCGGCTTTAATCGGTCGAAGGGCATGTTGGTGCTGAAGGCTGACCACTGGGAAGGGGGCTGAGCTGCCAGGAAGGGGGTGGGACAAGAGGGTGTGTGGTGGCAGAGAAGCTGAGCCCTGCCCAGATGTCAGAGTCCCCACTGCCCCTCCCCCAGTGAGTTCAGGGATCTCTGAGGTTAAGACACTGCCCACCTGGTGACAGGTCAGCACATCCTAAGACTACTTGGAGAAGACATCCGCTCGCTTCCTTGTTCTAGGCTTCTGGGAAGGTGAGCACCCTGCACACCCATCTGTCTCTTTACTGTCCCTCTACAGCACAGCCGCTCTTCATTACAGAGGCTGGACCCCACACCCGGGTCTTCGCCGTAGACAACCGGGGCCCCTGCTTGCTGGACACTCTGAGCACATGTGTGCCTGGCTTACTGGGTACCTGGTCCGGCTTTGAGGGTTCACCCATGGGGTACGGCAGGCAGCAGAGTCCTGTGCCTCTTCTGTTTAGGCATGGGTCCTCACGTGAGCAGACCACACTGGGTCTGACCCGGGTCTGTGGACAGGCACCTGGACTGCGTCCTCCTTTGAGTCCCGTCCTGAGTCCCTGCAGTGACCCTGCAGCTTCTGTTGACCTGTGTCCACTGTGCTGACCTGCGCACACTGCCCTCCGGTGTCTCCGCCATGTGGCCTTCCCTGGGATGAGTCGGCGTTCCTCGATATTTCTGAACCAGGCTTCCCTTCTCCTGCCCGGTCAACAAACAACAAACAGCGGCCAGGCCCCTCCTTCCACAGGACTGGCCCCCCACCGCCCCATCCCATGTCCCTGGGTGGGTAAGTCTGCTCCCTGGGTCCAGACTGGGAGCCCCTGAGCCACGTGACATCACTGGTCCCAAGCACGCCACGGGTGGCCGGCCACCGCGATAAGTGACCTAAATTCCCCGGCTGTTAACACTGGACCTTTTCCAGAACTTCCAGGGGGACTTGGAGGAGCTGAAACCAGGCTTTGTTGGACAAGGGGCTGGAACCCCGCCCCCTCACCCCATTCCCAAGGAGCCATGACACC